AACAAGGGGCAGAAAGGGATTCACTTTTTTGGGCTAAGCTGTAACTATAGTGTGCTTTCTTCCTTTTTTTTCTTTTCTTGAGGTTCTTTGTTGCTCTTGGAAGATAAGCGTGTTTGTCTTCCTATTGTAAATCTTCTTTTGATGAGTTAATGAAAGTGTTATTGATCAAAAAAAAAAAAAGTGAGCGAAACAAAAAACAGGTTAGTGTGTAACTGAAAAAAACCTAACCAACCTCAAAAAATAAAAAAAATAAGTGCCTATGGGATACAAAATGCTCAAAAATAGTCTTGTTGAACACATGAAGACCTCCAGCCCACTGGACAAGGAGCCATCTGATTTTGCTGATGATCAGATGGGGAAGCCTTGGACACAAAAATCCTGAAGTTTCTTTCCTCTCAAATATCCCAACGAAAAGCAAAGGGGAGGGAGTTCCATTATGTCTTAGTACTCAATTCCTTGGGCCTTCCATGCGGCAAACAAGGTGTTGTATCAGCCAGTGTAATCTGTTTCCTTTGGAACAGCTGTAAAAAATGTGACCAGACCTGAGTTGCGAAATCACAATGAATGAAAATGTGGGTAAAAAATTATTCTAAAGCCCCAAACAGGCAGCAAACATTGGCAAGATCCATCCCTCTGTACACCAAGTGATTGATGGTAAGGATTTTGTCCAAAATAGAGGTCCGTTGTTATGGATTATTGAACCAAGGTAAAGGAAGAAGTCACATTGAGATATCTCTTGGTCTTCAATCCTAAGTGTACCCTGATTTCCACTCCTATTGTCATTAATTTACATTGCATATTTTCTGCTTTAGTCCTTATTTTAAAACCTCTTTCTTCTAAGGTATCTGTCCATAAGTCTAATTTTGCATGTAATCCTTCTTTGGTTTCATCAGTTATGTGATTGATTAGGGTCCTTATCCAGTTTTAATTTTATTATGTTATGTGGAGTGAACTATGCTACTTAACACAGATGTTAATGTCTTCACCATTTTTAGATGCTACATTTGCTATAAGTACTTTCATTTTCATGCTAGTCTACTGTAGGCTCATTCATATTCATTTTTGCAGGTTGAAATTTCTCCACTTGTGGAATGTCAAATCCCATTTGGAGTTGGCATAGCATCTGATTCCATGGCCTTGCGTCGAGGAGGAAGGAAGCTTCCTATGGAAGATGTTTGCTATTACCAATGGCCTCTTCCAGGAGTTGAACAGGTCTAAATGTTCAGTGGCTTTTATTGTGTAGATATGCATCTTTCTTAAAGAGCTAATCATATGGAAATTTGTATTGCAGTTTGGACTGTTTGGCATCTGTGATGGGCATGGTGGAGCTGAAGCTTCCAAGGCGGCTAGCAAGTATTTTTCTTTTCCAAGCATGCTACTTTGTTAGGACTAATAAAATTCATTCCATAAAACACCAAAAATCTGATGTTTGCTTTCTGCCATCAGGAGTATAGATGTCTATTTGTTTGTCTTCTTTTCCTTGTATTCCCTTCTTAAGGCATTGGAATATATGTTATATTGTGAATTAATAAGTTGAGGTTCTAGCTTTATGTATAGTTTGTGCCAAATGTGTTGAAGGATTTCTAGGTTTTCACTCCTTTTTTTTTTGAGAAAAAGTTAACTTTTTTTTAAAGGCTTTCACTCTTATATGTCTTTTTTTTTAATCAATAACATCAGCTTCATTAAATTAAGAGAAAAGAGGGAGTATGTATACAAGAGGGGAGATAAAATATCTTAGCTCCCCAAATACAGAATACAAAGAGAATACACAGAGAAAAAGTTAAAAACTAGCCCAAAATACAGACTCCCTATTCACCCCTTGCTTGGCCAACCCATCCGCAAATGAGTTGGCACTCCTCTTCACCCAGCTGTATTGGATCTCAATGTCCCTACACATCCATAAGAGCTGCTTCTTTTCATTGTTGAAGTTCCACAAACCACTGTCCTCTTTCTTCAACCAGTTAACCACCACCTTTGAATCACCTCCCAGGATCAATCGGCTGACATTTAACTCTTTTGCTCTTCGAATTCCTTCAAGCGCTGCAAGGATCTCAGCCCTAAGAGAGTCACATTCTCCAATAGGGCCAGAAAATAGAGTAATAACAACCCCTTCCTCATTCCTGAAAACTCCTCCAATCCCCGAGGGTCCTGGATTCCTTACTGGCATCAAAGTTCAACTTAATGAAACCCGAGGGGGGAGGGGACCAAGAGGGACAAAGAGTCCTCTTGCAGCTAGCAGTGGAAGCAATCTCTTTCCGGTTTCTTAGCAAGTCATCCACAGGAAAGTCTGAAAACAACTCCAAAGATTTCAGCCAGTGGGCAGCCCTTAAAAGGATTAGGTCTAACAGTTCTTCCAGGGTTCTTTCCTTGTCTAAAAAAATACGTAAATTTCTTTCTTCCCACAATGACCACCAGCACACTGCTGCCCTATACGTGAATTTCACTCTTATATGTCTTTGACATGATTAAAACATTATTTATATGATTGACCTTTAAATTACTTGAGCAGAACATACCTATTGATTGGAAGGATATGTTTCTTGACCACCTGAAATATTATATTTATTGAGAACATCTTTAAGTGTCCTCAGTTCAGATGGAATGACATGTTCCATCCATTATATCTGAAAGGTTCCAAGGTAAGCCAACTCTAAAGCTTTGAAACTGGTTCTTGTTGGAGCATAATGTTCAGGAATGAATTCTTATGTCATACCTATACGGAAATGTAAATATACTAATATATGGATTCTTTCCCTTTGCATTAATTGTTTTATGGAATATTTTGAGATGAGAAACTTTAAATATCCAAAGTGCATCCATTTCATCCTAAACTGTGTACCAAATATTATTGTTTGACGTTTATCTTTCATTTTTAAAAAGTTAATTGCTGGTTCGTATCCTTTAAAGAGGTCATCTTCTTTCTCATTCCATATCTTTGCTTTTCCTATCCTTAAATACTATCTGGTTTTAGGTTTTTCTAGATTAGTAATGGCTTCGTTATTTTATTTTGCAGAATTTTGCCTGAGATGGTCGCCAATATCTTGTCAGTTTCCGAAAAAAGACAGAAGGTTCTTTCCCTATGTGATGCTTCAGATGTTCTTAGAGATGCATTTTGTCAAACAGAAGCATCTATGAATCATCAGTATGAGGTTTTCCCCTGTCATTTCTTTCTTGTTTGGGTGTAAATGTATCATCGTTATCATTATCATCATCTAAGCCTTGTTTGGGTGTAAATGTATCCCTAGATGATTTAAATTGAATTATTAATTTTATGCATGCATAGCGTGTGTCCTGCTTTCAAGTTAACCTCTATCTTCAATCTTCTTTCTTTTCTATGGAGTTTGCTTTGCCTGGTTGCCACCATGTATGCATCTGGCCTTCACCTTCTCTCCCTTTTTCATTATTGTATGCATATTCTATACAACTTGTATACCCTCTTTTTTGCTTTTAATAAAATTTACCTTACCTTTTAAAAAAAATGTATGCACATTCTAACCCTGTATATACTATTATTTTCTAGGCAGCGTTGAATGTCAAAAGACATGATACAAGATGTGATTTCCATTTTGCAAGTATTTAATTCTCTGAGTCCTCTTTAGTATGCTGATTAATTTTGTTAGCTAGAATATCCTCCAAGCAAGGTCATGTTGCTGAAAATCGGTGTTCTTGAACCTAACTTGTTATTTTATATCACTTCCTTTCATGTATGTAGTGAGATTTTCTCCTCTATATTTTCTAGGATGCAAACTGTTCTTCTTGCTTGAAAATGTTGATACATTTTTTTGTAAGGAATTTATATTATATATTCAATGCATCATATTGATTTTCCCCAAAGAGGCAAAGATTGGTTTCTTAAATACTGTGGCTTTTATGAATTTATGAAATAAAAGAATATGAGAATTCCACACTCATGTAAACCATTTTTTTAGGTGTTTTTCTTGTGGTTGCATTCTGCTATCTTGGTTATGTTGTGCAACATATTATGTTGATGATTAATTAATCAAAATTCTCTTATTGATAGAAAAACCAAAATTCTCTTTCCTTCTCATTTGAATGTTAAGCTAGTTTACTATTCAAGGTTGTAGACATTTATTTGCAGCCATGAAGATGAGCAACTGTCAATTTGAAATGTTTCTTACTTGTTACTTTGGAGGTGTTTGCTTTGCAACAGATAAATAATTTTTCTACTGATATCAATCGATCATGAGTAAAAAAATTGCAATTGATTTTCCATATATAAAACAGCTTTGATAAGTAAGCTTAAGTAAATTAGACCAAGTAAAAGAAGATAAGTAATTTATTTGATAAATTACATATTTACAAGTAACTTACCATAAACCTACTTATGATCCAAAGGCCACCTTAATCTTACCTGGACCTCTTACATATTTATTTCATATGTAATATCACATTCCATTGCTTGTTTCTGAGACAATCCCAAATTATGTCACTCTTCTGATTACTGCTAAGAAAATCCCTAGGACTAAGTCTTTGGCTTCTCAACTCAACTAAGCCTTGTCCCAACTATATGGGGTTTGCTACATGAATCCTCTCCTTCCATTCTACTCTGTTTGGTGCCATATAAATTGTTAAATTATAGGCCTTTGAATAATTTCTCACTACTAAATCCCATGTCCCTTTTCGGTCTGCCCCCAGCTCTTCTAGACCCTTCAACTTCTAATAGATCACTTCTTCTCACTCATGTTGCCATGCTCAAGACCATCAACTTCTAACAGATCACTTCTTCTCACTCATGCTGCCATGCTCAAGACCATCAACTTCTAACAGATCACTTCTTCTCACTCATGCTGCCATGCTCTAGGTTCCTTTGGATAAGTCTATCTTCGATCCTATGCTTCTAGTTTTCCCACTCATCCATCTCAATATTTAGGGTTCATTTGGTTCGTGGGAATAGGGTATGGAATCAGAACCAGAATGGGACACTCTGATTCCAACCATTTGGTTGGGTGGAATCAGAATCCGATCCCCATTTCTGGTGGAATGGCATTCACCCATTTGAGGGAATGGTCATTCCCTCCTCCTCCCTTGGGAATGAGAATCCCATTTCAGCCATTTTTTTTATCAATAACTGTTAACTTAATTCAAATTAAAGGATAATGTACAAGAGAAAGTCGGTGAGAGACAACCCTCTTATCTCTCCCCTTTAAATATCAATCAACAATTGCATGTGCCCAAAAAATTTGATTTCTCCCAACCCATTGTTTCACCAATGCTTCAGCCATCGAATTTGCAGTTCTTTTCTCCCAAAGTGTTCTTAGTTCCATGTCCTTTGCAATCCACTTGAATTTTTTCTTCTCATTGTTGTATTTCCACATCCTGCTTTCCTCATCTAGTAGCCAAGCCATTACCAGTTTGGAATCCCCTTCGATGATTAGCTTTCTAACATTCGTGAGTCGAGCCCTGTGCACCCCTTCCATAACTACCATCACTTCCACTCTTAGTGAATCACCATCGCCTGCTAGGCCTGAGAAAATTGCAAGCACTTTACCCTCCTCATCCCTGAGTACACCTCCAATTCCTGATGCATCCGGGTTTCCTATACTACTTCTGTCAAAGTTAAGCTTGATAAATCTCTTTCAGGAGGGGACCGGGTGGGAATAACAAACTGTTTTTTGACATTTGAGTCCACCACCTCCTTCCATTTTCTAATAATATCATCAAAGGAATTAAGGAAGTATGTGATAAGCTTTCTAAGGATTTCAGCCAGTGAGCCTAATCATTATCGATTCAATTAAGACCTCTTTTGTTCTTTCCTTATCTCTAAAAATTCTTGCATTTCTTTCTTCCCACACTGCCCAAATTATTTCCGCCCTAGCACTCTTCCACATGATTTTGTCTATCTTCCTTGGCCAAGGACAGGAGGTTGGACCAAAGAGGCTTTTGATATCAGCCGGAGGAGTCCACCTGCACTCAAATAAGGAGAAAATCCATTTCCAAATGCCAACAACAAAAGGACAGGTAATAAACAAATGAAAGCAAGTCTCACTGTTAGTCTTGCAGAGAATACACCAATATGGGGAAAGTTACCACTTTTTCCTCTTCTTTTATAGCCAATCAAAAGTATTTATTCTTACATGAACAACTTCCCAACAAAAAGTCGCAACCCTAGGTGGGATAGGCTTGCACTACACCTCCTTAACAGGAAATGAATGGAGGGAACTAAGGGAAGGTTGGGTTAAAGCTTTGAAGAAAGAGTTACAAGAGAAGAGACCCGAAGAGGAAGGTGTCCAAATTCTTTCGTCAGGCTTATCAGGGTCAAGGAAAATTCCTTCAAGGGTTTGGAGCAAAGAGAGCACACTATTAATTTCTGAATCCCTTATTCCCCTTCTAAAGCCAAGGTTCCAATCAAAACCATTAATTAAGATTGAAGGGACTAAGAAAGCATAAAATGAGGGGAAGAAGTCCTTCAAAGAGGAGTTCCCACACCAGACCTGATCCCAAAATTTGATTAGTTTACCAGAATTGAAATCATACCTTACAAGAGGCAAGAAAGAAGGTAGAATCGCTTGTATGGCTTTCCAAGGGGAGGCTCTGGTAGCCCTATGCAGTGAACCAGCATCCCATCCATTGTCCAAGAGCCCATGTATACTCACCACCACCTTTGCCCATAATTTGTCTCTTTATTTGGGCATTCTCCATAACCACTTCCTTAGTAGAGATAAATTCCTTTTTTGGATATTTCCTATTCCAAGACCCCTATGCTTTTTATCTCTATTGACTATCTCCCAACACACCATATGATCCCTACCCCCCCAGCTCTCATAAACAAATCCCTTATTAATTTCTCAATGCTCCTACTTACTCCCTCTGCCATCTTAAAGACTGACATATAATACACAAGGAGGTTTGCTAGGGTCAATTTTATTAGGGTGATCCTACCTCCTAAGTGTAGAGAGACTGGGCCGAATGGGCCCTAGTCCTTTAGTGTCATTCTTATTAGTTCCTTCTTGTCATGTTTTCATATTGGGCCTTCTTTCTTTATGGGCCTTTAGCTTCTGTTTTGTTTTTAAGTGTATTGCTGATGTGGATGCCTACTTAAGGGCCTCCTTGTAAATTATGTAACTTAAGTAAGTTTAATAAAAGATTAGAGTAGGGGAAAGAGGAGATTATCGAACTCCTCTTTTCTTTCTTCTTTCTTCTCCATTTTTCCTTCTTCTTCTTGATGTCTTCCTCTTCTTCTTTCTTTCTACTCTAATTTGGTATCAGAGCAGGTCCTCCTTTGTTTTCTCCTTTTTTCTCATACACTTTTTTTCTAATCGAAAGGTGTATGGAGAGATAAATTGCTGATCAATCATAGATCTTGTTTGCCTAGTTGGTAGAGGGTTTGGAGAGTCAGAAGCTGGCCGAAGATTGCCAAGAAAGTGGGACTGCAGATTCTTTTCCCAAAACCCTAGCCGACTAGAGAGTTTCCAGTTACGAGTTGAAGAGGCTGTTTGGGTGTGGTGCTCAAGGCTTGGAGGGTTCCTTTTTATCTCCAAAAGTGGGTGGTTGCAGTTAGAAGTGGTTTGGATTGCTCTAGTTTGAGTAGCTACCTCTTCTCTCTTTCTTCCCGGAGGCCAGGTACGGTGAAACCCTAGTTTTGGGACTTTTGAGTGTTTGACTGACCTTAGTTAGGTCTATAAAGGTTGAAAACATTGTTTTTTGATTTTTCGTTTGATTGATGGAGCAATTTGGAAGTGAGATGAAGCAGATCCTGGTGTCGGGGATTGGTCCCGTAGATTCCATTTTGACAGGAGTGACTACAATTAAACTTGATGGAACAAATTACCTTGCTTGGGCACAATCTAATAAGATCCATGTCTGTAGTAGAGGTAAACTGGGGTTTCTCACAGGTAGTAAGGTGATGCCAGAAGAGACTGATCCTACATGTGAGAAATGGATGCAAGATAACTATACAGTTATTGGGTGGTTGGTAAATTCTATGTAGCCCCACATAAGTCAACATTATCTGTGGATGACTTTACCAAGGAGATTTAGGATAATGTTATAGAAACATACTCTCAGAAATTAAATGTTGCAAGGGCCTACAAATTGAAGAATGATGTGAAAAATTTAAAACAGGGGGAGAAGAGTGTGGTTGTCTACTATTCGATGTTGAAGTCACTATGGCAGGAGATAGATGTTATGG